GGTTTTTTTTGTAATTTGGTATACAGTTTATGTGCAATATTGTGTCATTTTCAGGTGTATAGCATAGTGTTTCAGGGATTTTTAAGATTTTTTTCCATTATAGGTTATTACAAGATATTGGGTATAATTCCCTGTACACAGTAAATCCTTGTTGCTTATCTATTTTATGTATAGTAGTTTGTTTCTGTTAAACCCATACCCCTAATTTGTCCCTTCCCACTCCCTCTCCCTTTTGTTAAGCATAAATTTGTTTTCTATGTCTGTCAGTCTGTTTCTGTTTTGTATATACATTCGTTTGTATTATTTTTTAGATTCTACATGTGACTGATATCATATAGTATTTGTCTTTCTCTGTCTAAGTTACTTCACTAAGCATGATATTCTCTAGATCCATCCATGTTGCTACAAATGGCAATATTTCATTCTTTTTCTTGGCTGAATAATGTTCCGTATATACATATGGAATACATCTTCTTAATCCAGTCATCTGCTGATGGGCATTTGAGTTGCTTCCACATTTTGGCTATTATAAATAATGCTGCTACAAACATTAGTGTGCCTGTATCTTTTCTAATTAGTGTTTTGGTTTTTTGGGGATGTATACCCAGGAGTGGAATTGCTGGATCATATAGTAGTTTCTTTTCTAGTTTTGTTTGAAGAATCTCCACACTGTTTTCCATAGTGGGTGCACCAATTTACATTCCCATGAGCAGTGTACAGGGGCTCCCTTTTCACCATATCTTCACCAACATTTGTTATTTGTGGTCTTGTTGATGATAGCTATTCTAACAGCTGTGAGCTAATACCCCACTGTGGTTTTGATTTGCATTTCTCTAGTCATTAGCGATGTTGAGCATCATTTCATTTGCCTGTTAGTCATCCATTTGTCTCCTTTGGAAAAATGTATGTACAGGTCTTCTGCCCATTTTTGTTCAGATTATTTGTTTCTTTAGTGTTACAAGCTGTTTATATATTTGGGATATTAACCCCAAGTCAGCTGCATCAATTGCAAATATTTTCTCCCATTTTATAGGTTGTCTTTTTGATTTTTGATTGTTTCATTTGCTGTGAAAAAAGATTTAAGTTTCATTAGGTCCCATCTGTTTATTTTTTATTTTATTTCCATTACTCGAGAAGGTAGGCCAAAAAAGATCTTGTTGTGATATATGTCATAGAGTGTTCTGCCTATGTTTTCCTCTAAGAGTTTTATAGTATCTGGCCTTACATTTAGGTCTTTAATCCATTTTGAGTTTAGTTTTGTGAATGGTGTTAGGAAGTGTCCTGATTTCATTCTTTTACATGAAGCCGTCCAGTTTTCCCAGCATCACTTTTTGAAGAGGATGTCTTTTCTCCATTGTATATTCTTGCCACCACTGTAAAGAAGAGGATCAGTAAGTCCAGCTGCCCCTTCCTCAAGCATACATTTTTTGTTTGTTTGTTTGTTTTTTGGAGTACGCGGGCCTCTCACTGCTGTGGCCTCTCCTGTTGCGGAGCACAGGCTCCGGATGCACAGGCTCAGTGGCCATGGCTCACGGGCCCAGCCACTTCACGGCATGTGGTATCCTCCTGGACCGGGGCACGAACCCGTGTCCCCTGCATCGGCAGGCAGACTCTCAATCACTGCGCCACCAGGAAGCCCCAACATCATTCTTGATGGTGAAAAACTGAAACCATTTCCACTAAGATCAGGAACAAGACAAGGGTGCACACTATTATTCAACGTAGTTTTGAAAGTTTTAGCCACAGAAACCCGAGAAGAAAAAGAAATAAAAGGAATCCTAATAGGGGAAAGAAGATGTAAAACTCTCACTGTTTGCAGATGACATGAAACTATAGAGAATCCTAAACATGCTACTAGAAATCTACTAGAGCTAATCAATGAGTTTGGTAAAGTAGCAGGATACAAAATTAATGCACAGAATTCTCTTGCATTCTTATACACTAGTGGTGAAAAATATGAAAGAGAAATTAAGGAAACACTTGCATTTACCATTGCAACAAAAAGAATAAAATACCTAGGAATAAATCAACTAAAGGAGACAAAAGACCTGAATACAGAAAACTATAAGATGCTGATGAAAGAAATTAAAGATGATACAAAGAGATGGAGAGATATACAATGTTCTTGGATTTGAAGAATCAGTATTGTTAAAATGACTATACTACCCAAAGCAATCTACAGATTCAGTGCAATCCCTATCAAACTACCAATGACATTCTTCACAGAACTAGAACAAAAAATTTCTCAATTAGTATGGAAACACAAAAGACCCTGAATAGCCAAAGCAATGTTGAGAAAGAAAAATGGAGATGGAGGAATCAGGCTCCCTGACTTCAGACTATACTACAAAGCTACAGTAATCAAGACAGTATGTCTAGATCAATGAAACAGCATAGAAATCCCCAAGATAAACCCAAGCATATATGGCCACCTTACCTTTGATAAAGGATGCAAGAATATACAATGGAGAAAAGACAGCCTCTTCAATAAGTGGTGCGGGGAAAACTGGACAGCTCCATGTAAAAGAGTGAAATTAAAACACTCCCTAACACCATACACAAAAATAAACTCAAAATGGTTTAAAGACCTAAATATAAGGCCAGACACTATAAAACTCTTAGAGGAAAACATAGGCAGAACACTCTATGATGTAAATCACAGCATGATCCTCTTTGACCCACCTCCTAGAGAAATGGAAATAACAACATAAATTAACAAATGGGCCCTAAAGAAACTTAAAAGCTTTTACACAGCAAAGGAAAACATAAACAACATGAAAAGACAACCCTCAGAATGGGAGAAAATATTTGTAAATGAAGCAACAGACAAAGGATTAATCTCCAAAATTCACAAGCAGCTCATGCAGCTCAATATCAAAAAAACAAACAACCCAATCCAAAAATGGGCAGAAGACCTAAGTAGACATTTCTCCAAAGAAGATATACAGATTGCCTACAAACACATGAAAGCATGCTCAAAATCACTAATCATTAGAGAAATGGAAATCAAAACTACAATGAGGTATCACATCACTCTGGTCAGAATGGCCATCATCAAAAAATCTACAAACAGGGACTTCCCTGGTGGTACAGTGGTTGGGAGTCCACCTGCCGATGCAGGGGACACAGGTTCATGCCCCAGTCTGGGAAGATCCCACATGCCACGGAGCGGCTGGGCCCAT